CAACAGCTAAGGCTTTGGCTTTTATCGATAGATAAGTCAATGGGTTTGCAATTTTGCATCTAGAATCATTCTAGGATATTCCTTATGTAAGTCATCAAAGACAAACCGGGAATTCTCCCAAAACATTTCCTAAGGATCGTACATCCGAGCATATAAATTACATCACCCATGTCCATCATATCTAAAACAGAGGACTGCCCACCCTAGGTGGCGACAACCTTATAAATTCCTGGCTCATAATGACTAAGTAAGGAAAAACTATATTTTATACTCTGATTGTGTTAAGTTTTTGAAAGTTGGCCTTCGGTAATTACGGATTACTGGCCATCACGGCACCAAACTACTAGGGGCGGTTTGGGGTCGTGACATTTGAGTCACCGTTGAAGATGCTCTAACCCAAGCAAAATATGCGTCTGTCTTTATGACCCAAACAAAAGGCGCCTGAATATATCCCCTTAAAAGTCTATAAAATGGACCTGTGGCCTGATCACTCATGATAAATTTTATATAATGTATCTTTTATGATAATATAAATTAGATGAGATGTTTAAAAAAATAATTTACGGTCAAATTTTTTATATAGATACACACACATATGTATATATATATATATATAAGTACATAAGAAATAACTAATAAGAAAAAAAAATTAATAGGATTGAGATCGTAATAGATTTAGGATCCTACCGTAATTCTATATGATTTTATAACTAGAATTGTAATAATTTTAAGATTCTATGATATTTAAAATCTTAGTATGATTCGAATCATTTGATCTAACTAAGATCGTAGAATTTTAAAATTCTACAAGCAAAATTGGAATTATGATAACCATAGAGTGGATATCGGTGAAGACTAGCTAGTCAAAGTCATTTAGTATAATTATTGGAATTGTGATAATCATGATGTAGACATTAGTGAAAACTAGCTAGTCAAAGTCACTTGTCGGCTTTCATTGCATCAATTGTAGAATTTTAAAATCCTACTAGTAAAATTGGAATTCTGATAACCATACTGTATATATCGGTGAAGACTAAATAGTCAAAGTCATTTAGTATAGAATTTTGATAATCATGATGTAGACATCAGTGAAGATTAGTTGGTGAAAGTCACTTGTCGGTTTGCATTGCATCAATCATAGAATTTTAAAATCCTACTAGTAAAATTGAAATTCTAATAACTATATTGTATATATTGGTGAAAACTAGCTAGTCAAAGTCATTTAGTATCATAATTGGAATTTTGATAATCATGATGTAGATATTAGTGAAGACTAGTTAGTCAAAGTCACTTGTCAGGTTTGCATTGCATCAATCGTAGAATTTTAAAATCCTACTAGCAAAATTGAAATTCCAATAACCATACTGTATATATCGGTGATGACTAGCTAGTCAAAGTTATTTAGTATCATAATTGGAATTTTGATAATCATGATGTAGACATCAGTAAAGACTAGCTAGTCAAAGCCACTTTTTGGTTTTGCATTGTATCTATATTTTGGTGGAAAATCATGTGTTGTTTTAGGGGTGTAAACCATATGTATTTTATCATAAAAATATATAATTTTATTATAAAATTTCGTAATATGAATTACAAAATGCATAATCTCGTCATAAATTAATATAATAAAATGTTCAAAAATTTGTTATTCATATTGCAATAGTTTATGGTTTGGTTACAATATTTTTTTGTTACGCTAATTGTGATGAGATTATATATTTTAAAATTAATGTTACAAAATTGTAAAATAAAATTACACATTTTATAGTAGGGTGCATATGGCATACACTTATAAAGGAGCGCACGCCATAGCATTTTCCATATTGGGTATAAGGCATTTTGCTTTCTCCATTATTCACATTACGGGCTATCAAATGCTCTATGGAAAAAAAAAATCCAAATAATTGTATCATATTTGTTTTAAGAAAATAAATGTTAATGACAATTATTTTTGAAAATAAATATCATAAAGTCATGTGGTCAATTATCACATTAATTTAATTTTTTAAATTAATACGTACAAAATAAATAATGCAAATCACCAAAATTTGACACGTTAAAATCTCATACATCCCAACATCTTCCAATGTAAAAAGTGGACTAGAGAGGATTTTTCCACTCGAGCTTGTCTTTTACTAGTCATTGCTCACTTAATGCATGCTAGTATTATTGTTACGTATTCTTTTGATGTATGCTATATATTTTTATGGTTATATATGTTACATAATTTTTTAGTAGAGTTTCTACAATTTGTAGTTCAGAAATGATATTACGAATTTGCATGATAATGTTACGTATTTTTGTGATAATGTTACATATTTGTTTGTTAGAAAATGTCTAGATAAAAAAATGTATAGCATTACCAGTAATATTACCATAAAATACATAACTTCATTTTGAATCACAAATCATTGTAACTCTACTAAAAAAATTACATTACATTTATTACAAAAATATGTAACATACACCACAAAAATGCGTAACAAGATGCATATGGGTGTGTACTATAGAATTTCCCTTGGGGTTATTCTACATCTCAAATGTCATAACAAAATCATTTTAAGTCATAATTAAAAATAATAATAAGCCATAACTAAACACTACTTGAGGTATAGGAAAATACATCTTCCATTGTAATCAAAATAATAACCATAATAGGTCATAACTAATATCACAATGAGCTATAACCAAAGATTATAATCAAAATCACTTGAGGCATAACAAAAAAAAAAAAAAAAAAAAAAAAAAAAAAAACTCTTTAGTAATAACCAAAAATAAAAATAACAAACACACACCACAATGAGTTATAACTGCGTTATAACCAACACCACAATAGATCAGAATAAAAATGGCAAAAGTTATAATGAGGCATAAGTTATATACCAAAAAATGAGAGTGTATTATAGAATTTTCCAAGTCTTGGTGTATGTCTTTTTAAGGATGAGGTTGTCATAAAAAAGTCTCATATTTTTTCCATTTCTTTTTGTCTTTAACAACTTTTGGGTGAATTATACTAACAGTCCCTACAGTTTGGAGTTTGTATTATTTTGGTCCTTGACTTTTCAATTGTAATACATTTGATCCTAAATTTTAAATCTCATTTAAATAAAGATAATTGAAGACATTGTTGCTCAATTTGAAGGATAAAGTCATCATACAACTTATTTTGTACTAGTTAACTTATATGTTGGTTGAAATATAATGCCATTTTTTTAATGAATAATGTTAGAATTTTTTTGGTTATAAAGTTCCGTTTGGTTTGGTTTTCAAAATCTATTGTTAGAAATGTTTTCTAAGAAGCTAAAAATTAAATTGAAAAAAAAAAATTAAAGACATATCATTTTTACATAATTTTATTTTTTGGGAGAGTAGAAATAATTTTTTAAAATAATTTTTTTTGATATTTATTATCATTAAATCAGTTTTATTTTTTCAAAAATCAAATATAGCGACAATTTTGATGTCATTATTAAACCAATCCATTAAATAAAAAATAAGAATTTAAAAACATTTCATATATTAAACATATCGATTATACATTAAAAATCTAATAACCATTCATTACATGGTAACCATCCAAAACTATCAACAAAAACAACAATCCATTACATAACCATCATCTAAACACATACTAAAAATTAATTTGGTAAAAAAATAAAAAAATAAAATGTAAAAATTTATCATTTTTATATAATTTTATCTTTGGTGAGTAGAAATAATTTTTAAAAATTTAAAAATAAAATTTTGACATTTATTTTTGTCAAGCTAATTTATATTTTATCAAATTAACGTTTTCATCTTGAAATGAAGTAAAAATGTCTTTAATTATTTTTATTTAGAACGGGATTCAAAATTCAGAAGTAAATATATCACAATTGAAAGGTTAGAGACTAAAGTGACACCGATTCTAAACTAGAGAGACTGTTAGTGTAATCCGTCCTAATATTTTTTTCCAAATTATGTCAAATTTTTTCCATTTTTCGGGCCGTCGTGTATAGACTAATTTAAAAAATAATTTTTTTTGAAAAATTCCAAAATAATGAAAAAGCCCCAAATAAGTTGAAAAGTCTTTTTTTTGGACTTTATTTTTGTCTTTTTTAAACTTTTTAAAATTATTTTTAAATTTTGTGATTCATCCCATCAAGTTAAATTTTTAATTCTTTTTTTAAGTATTGAATAAAAATAAAAATAAACCAAAAACAGAGCCACCAAATAAACAAATCTCATACACCCACTATTGCTGTTGATTATGATCAACATTTATGAAGTCAAGTCTTCCTTGATGAGTTAAAAACACTTTGTTATGGGGTTCAACTCTGTAGACATCAAGGAAGACTGACTAGTCAAAGTCACTTTACTTGTTTGTAGGCTTTGCATTACACCTACATTTGCCTATAAAGCTTTTGGCCTCTCCCCTGTTAATAGTCAACAAGCATTACAACCTTTGTTTTTGAATCTAGGAGCAAAGATGGTCTCTGACAATCAACTCTTTCACCTCTTTTTGTTTCTTTGTTTTTTCCAGATTACTTGTTTGCATGCCCAACTTTGCACTCAACAACAGACCTCTGCATTGCTCCAATTTAAGAAACAATTTTCCTTCAATAATGATGCTTCCTACGGTAATTGTGCTTATCACGGAATCCATTCTTACCCGAAGATGGAGTCGTGGAAGGAGGGTTCTGATTGTTGCTCATGGGATGGGGTCGAGTGTGACAACAACACAAGTCAAGTAATTGGCCTCGACCTCAGTTGCAGCTGGCTCAACGGCACCATCCACCCCAATACCACCATCTTCTACTACTTTCCTCACCTCCAAAGCCTCAACCTTGCTTTCAATGACTTTGGTATGTCTCGAATCTCATCTGAATTTAGTCGATTCACCAGATTGACACACCTCAACCTCTCATTGTCTAGTTTTTCTGGGAAAGTCCCTATAGAAGTCTCCTTTCTGAGCAAATTACGGTAACTGTGCTTATCACGGAATCCATTCTTACCCGAAGATGGAGTCGTGGAAGGAGGGTTCTGATTGTTGCTCATGGGATGGGGTCGAGTGTGACAACAACACAAGTCAAGTAATTGGCCTCGACCTCAGTTGCAGCTGGCTCAACGGCACCATCCACCCCAAAACCACCATCTTCTACTACTTTCCTCACCTCCAAAGCCTCAACCTTGCTTTCAATGACTTTGGTATGTCTCCAATCTCATCTGAATTTAGTCGATTCCCCAGTTTGACACACCTCAACCTCTCTGACTCTAGTTTTTCTGGCAAAGTCCCTATAGAAGTCTCCTTTCTGAGCAAATTGATCTCGCTTGATCTCTCTAACAATTATGATTTGAGGTTGGAAGAACCGGGATTTGAATTACTTGTTCAAAACTTAACCAAGGTAAGAGAACTTAATCTTAGAGATGTAAACATATCTTCAGTGGTTTCCAATTCCTTGCTCAATCTGACTTCTTTAACACTTCTCGATCTTTCTTTTTGTGGATTGCTTGGAAAATTACCTGACGGAATATTCCATTTATCACATCTGAATGAGCTGAGTATATTGTATAATCTTGCTCTCACTGGTTATTTTCCCGAGTTTATAAACTCGAGCAGTCCTCTCCAGTACTTGGACCTTTCATTCACTAATTTCTCTGGAGAACTACCTGACTCAATTGGGAATTTGAAGTCCTTGAAAAAGTTGGCTGCCTATGATTGTAAATTTTATGGATCCATCCCTACGTCGCTCGGAAACCTTACGGCAATGACTCATTTAGAAATCGGATATAATAATTTCACTGGCATGCTCCCATCTTCACTTTCAAACCTTGGAAATCTTGTCCGCTTGCAAGTTGCAGGTAATAATTTTGAAGGTATAATTTCGGATATTTTACCCAACAGTAAAAGTCTTCTTTATTTACATGCTGGTTCAAATAACTTCAGCAGTCCATTCCCATCATTGGTTTCAAACCTAACATCACTGGTTGAGTTAGATTTGTCGCATAATCAGCTAAGAGGACCTCTTCCATCACAAATAATTGGATTTCCAAATCTAACGTTGTTAAGTTTAGATGATAACTTAATCAATGGTACAATTCCATCTTGGGTCTTCAGCTTACCAGCATTGAATCACTTAAGCATCCGTAATAACAAATTGACTGGGCATGTGAAAGAGTTCAAATCCACTGATTTAAATGTTGTTGATTTGAGCAATAACAACCTACATGGTATGTTTCCAAGTTCAACCTTCAAACTCGAGTACCTTTATAGTCTTATTCTTTCATCAAATAACTTCAGTGGTAAGCTAGACATGCTCTGTCATGCAATTTCCCTTCACATTCTTGCCCTGTCTAATAATAGCTTTAATGGTGCTATTCCACAATGTTTAGGAAATTTCAGCACAGTTTTCTATGTGCTTGATCTGGAGAAGAATAATTTTTCTGGCACCATTCCTAATACATTTGTAAAGGGAAATCGCTTTGAAACTATCAACCTGAATGGCAATGGATTTGAGGGGCCAGTACCAAAATCTTTAGTCAATTGCAAACTTTTAGAAGTGCTAGACCTTGGATGTAACAAGTTCTCTGACAAATTTCCATATTGGTTGGAAAAACTACAATGGTTGCAAGTTCTAATACTGACATCTAACAAATTCCATGGACCCATGCCAACTTCCAAAGCCAAATTTCCCTTCCTTAATTTGCGAGTTATGGATTTGTCAGACAATTATTTTACTGGTCCATTGCCGGAAAAATATTTCAAGAATTTCAATGCTATGATGAATGTTGACGAAGCCAATTTTAAATTGCAATACTTATCAAGCAGTTCTGGCACATATTACTATCATTTGACTATAGTAATCAAAGGATCAACCATAGAAATGGAAAAAGTCCTAATCATTTTCACTGCAATTGATTTATCAAAAAATAAATTCGAAGGTCAGATTCCACAGATCATTGGAAAGTTAAATTCAATCCGAGGGCTCAACTTGTCACACAATAAGCTTATAGGTCATATACCAACATCTCTTGCTAATTTGACAATGCTCGAATGGTTAGACCTCTCTTCCAACAAACTCAATGGGGAGATACCTCAACAACTAAAGAATTTGAAATACCTTGAAGTCTTAAACCTTTCGCAGAATCAACTAATAGGACCGATACCACAAGGCAACCAATTTGATACATTTTTAAATGGTTCCTACATTGACAACTTGGCTTTATGTGGACCTCCATTATTAAATGCATGCAATCTAAGTACACCACAACCACCATCCTTGATGTTTCAACAAGAAGACAATACTTCAAGTGGATTCAATTGGGAAGTCATATTACCGGGTTATATATGTGGGCTGGTGTGGGGACTTGTTATGGGATATCTTATGTTCTCTAGAGGAAAACCTCAATGGCTTGTGAGGATCATTGAAGGTGAACGAAACGAAAGCAGAAAGAGATTTAAAAAGCATGCTCATAGGAACAGAGGAAGGTGAAATTAGCCAATGCAAGTGGTGTCCTTTGGTAAGTATTACAATGAATTTCTGCAATCTTTTGCTTGATCATGAAAAACTATGACTTGGTTGTGGTTTTTATCTAGTCTATTTTCAGTTTCTTAGCAGTTTATTTGTATCATACATAATAAAGCTAGTTTATTTCCTTTGATGTTTATACAAAGCACTTGATTGGAAATCATCATGCGAAAAAATAAAAAATAAAATCATGGATGTAATAAATGAGTAGTGAAAATAAAGGTTTGTTATTGACTCTAGTAGCTGCAATTAGCTGCAATTGAAAAAGGTCCAAGTTTTGGACACTTTTTTAATATATATATATATATATATATTTACTTTTATACTCTAAACTATAGTCACTTTTTGTACTTCATTTTTAAATTATTAATTGCATCTATTTAGTCTTTATTATTCATTATTTCAGTTCATATAATCCGATTGGAGACGATTTGTCCAAATCATTAATGCTAAAAATCTAATCTAATAGTTAAAAAAATAATTTTATAATTTGGACAACCAAACACCATGCTTCTCTCTGCTTCAAATAATGAATAAGAAAATAAGTGCTTGGTTCGGTAAATTTACACCGACCTCTCCTAATTATAGTGGGTTAACACTTAACTTATTTTTATCAGTAACATTAGTTATATGGATGAAAAAATAATATGTTTATCTTGTTTGGTTTAATTCACTTTTCAAAAAGTTGAATATTTTTTTTTTATTTTCCTTTTTAGTGAATTTTTTTAATATTTTACGCAATTTTTATTTCTTAAATACATCTAATTTAGATACACTTAAAAAGTATAATATTTGTGAAATAAAAAATAAAAAATTCACCAATTACAAAAAAATTTCAAATATATATATATATATATATCTTAAAATTCAATACATTTTCATATTTTGTTATATTCAATGATTTTTTTTTTAATTTTCATATTTTGTTATACAATAAACTATAGTCACGTTTTTTTACTTCATTCCTAAATTATTAGTTACATCCATTTTTTGTTTCTTATTTCAGTTCATATGGTTTAATTAGAGACAATATCCACAAGTTAGCAATAGTGAAATTTTAATCTAATGGGCCAAAATAATGATTTAAGAATTTAGAAAATTTAAATCGTAGAACTAAACCCTATCTTTTCTTATTCACACTTACAAGACAGCTCACCCTTTACAACTAAACACCTATATTCCTCTCCACCCCTCATCTCAAATAATGAATAAAACAAATGTGTTTTTGGTTGTACAGTTTAGAGTAAATTACATAGGCCTCTCTTAAAATTTGAAGAAAACAAGCCCTCTTTTATGTTTTTGCTCTCAATTATTAATATGGGAAGGAGATCTATCTAATTATCTATCTAATGTACTGTTGAAATAGAAGTGTGATAATCGGTTCGTAAGATATGTTATAGGTCTTATTTTGATAATCTGAATCGTACAATTTGTAAAGTTTTTTTGTATAGATCATTTAGGATAAAATTTAGATTAATGCCATATTTATATCCATATATATTTTTTCATATTAGTTTTTGAAAAAATGAATGGACAATTTCAAAATTATACTTGTGATTCGTTTTTTTAAACAAATATAATGAAATCATATAGTTATGAATATAATGAATCTATTTTTTTTTTAATTATGAAAATAGGATATGCAGTGACTCTATAAACCCCAACAACACCCCTCTAGTAAAACTGTGGACGGGAGAGAATCATTCCCCATTAAAATTGAGAAACAACGAAAATGTTTTCATTGTTTACATTTTTTTCTCATTGTTTTCATACATTAATTTAAGCTATCTAACAAGCATATATATGGTTTTCAAAATATATTTGGGTGACATGTATGTCAAATCCAATATACTGAGGGAATTCAATAATTGTAGCAATTTTTGATTTGTGCCATGTAGTTGCAGTGTATTTCAATTTGATCTAAGCGGCGTAGCTTTTGGAGCCATGGCGAATTTTGGTCAAGCTGATGCATTACACAATGCTGGGAAGTTGCAGATACAATGTCGAAGGTTAGAATATATATATATATATATATGTTAGTGGGTGTGTGTTTACTTGATGAGTGTATTGTTAAATGTGTAAAACATAAATTTTAATTTTGATTTAAAAATAAACTATTGGAATAATCTTCTGTGTAAATAAAATAAATTAAAATAAATCAAACAAAATAAAATAAAACTTACAGGATTTATTTTATTGAACTGAATAAAAAGAAAATTCAAAGACCAAGTCGAGTGTGTAACACTCTGTCCTTAAGACAGATTCGCCCCGCTACGATGCTTACGGTTGAGTGGCGTCTATCTCCCAGGATACAATGATCTTCACAAACTTGTAGTAGCACTCCACACAAATTTGTACGGCGAACTAGAACCTTGTGTTCTTATACTCTCTTAAATTTATTCTAAATCAAATATGAAGAATAATGCAAAAGTAGAAAATTCTGGACAGCAAAATAGAATAATTTCAGACTGTTTTCGAATGTGTGAAGTGTTGGAATATGGTATGTATTTATAGACCCGAATAGGTGCTTAAATAAAAGTGAACAAATAGGTTTTTGAATTGAACAGGTGCTGTTTGAATTCAAACAGATTTGCAAAATGTTTCAACAGATTAACTGCTGGGCAGTTTGAAACCTATCCAGTTTAACAGATCTGAAACTGTTAAAAACTGTTCGGCAGTTACTGTAGGAAATTCGGACATAAAGAGGCACAACTTTTGGACAAGAATTTGAATTCAAATTCAAATTCAAATTTTAAATTAATTTTTTCGGCAATAATTTTTAAAAAAATTCAAATGAATTTCGTCCAAAAAATTAATACAAGAACCGACCCGACCCACAACCGCGCCCAGCACGGCTTGGCCTGGCCGGATGGACGTCTGCGGCGGCGCGCGTGCGCGTTTGTGGTGGTTTGGGCTAAGGTTCACTTTGTCCATAACTCCTCCCTTCTACAAACCTGGGGTGCCCCTTGGGGCCCAACCCAAGTATTGCAGGCTAGAGCTTATAAACTCAACAAAACTCTCTTAAAGTTTTAATATGGGACAAGCCTCACAAGGAAACCCACATTAAAAACTTTAAATGTCCATTCCATGAACCCGAAAACGATGTCATGTTCCCATTCACTCATAAATGGTTTTGATGAACCGTCTTCACCATGTGACTTGCCACGCAGCAAGGAACACTTCACCTCTTCGGACGTGCCCCAAAAGACGTTCGGGGCCCACTCAATTTTGGGCTCAAAGTTGGCCCAAAATAAGCCTTATAAACCAAAATTTCCAACAATCCCCCACATGAATGGAATTTGATGGAAAGAAAATACAACACCATGATCTAAATACAGAGAGTACAGAAATTGGAAATATTCTGCAAAGGATAGGTAGCTTTTGGCTTTGAACCTTCCCTTGTGAGACACTATCGGATTTACTAGCTAACCAGTGAACATGATGTCTTGAACTGTTCAGCCATTTGTGTAAACCAAGACAATAGAACTCACACAGTATATCTCCAGACACAGTTTAGTTCTCACTATTGTGTTCATTTTGGCCCTGAACAACCTGGTCTTATATCTAACCCTTCACAAATCTTATAGAACCGGCCCAGTTCACACCCACATAGGTGATTCTTATGAAGAATATCCTACCATACTCCACTAGGTTTACCTAGATATAAGAATCATTAAAAGTATTACTTAACCTAAAATTTTAAACACACTGAATTTTTTTCTTAAAAAAACACACACACACACACACACACACAATCAAGTAAATGAACAAATGAATTTTAAAAAACTGAATTTATACAAGAAAAAAAAGTAAAACAGGAAAAACAAAACTGAATGTAAATGTTCTAAAAAAGAGAATATAAATATACAAAAGATCTAGATCTTGGGATCTCCAGTCAACTAGGTTGGGTTGCCGTTGTGGTAACTCTTATTTAATAGGCTTATGTCCCATTCCCCTCGATGAATTCCCAACTAACTCTCTTGCTAACCCTTTGGTTAGTGGATCTGCTATGTTGTCTTTAGACTTAACATATTCTATGGAAATAATTCCATTAGAGAGTAGTTGTCTCACGGTGTTATGTCAACGACGAATATGTCATGACTTACCGTTATACATATAACTCTGTGCTCTACCTATAACTGATTGACTATCGCAATATATGCATATAGCAGGCACCGGTTTTGGCCATTGTAGACACCCCATTTTTGATCGTCCTCAAGACTTTGACGTCACCGTTTGAACACTCGGTTATTATCCATGTTTGTGTTCGTTTGGAGTTCCCGGAGGTCTCGGCTCGCGCGCTTTGCCTCAGGATCTCCAAACTTGACTGTTTAGTGTCTGGTTTTACACCAAACACTTGTGTTTTGCCTTTGAGAGGTAGGGTAGGGCTTGTAGACCATCCCCACCCACCACCGGCAGTGGCTAGAGGCCACCGGTTGGTTTTTGCTGCCACCGGCAATGTATATTGCCGGCCGGCACTATTTTTTGCCGGTCAGCACTATTTAGTGCCGACCGGCACTTTTTTTGGCCAAGATGGCATTTTTGGCCGGCCGACTACTGTGCATCTGCTTTTGCAGATATTTTAAGACAGCTGGCTTGCCTTTTGCTCCCCTCCATACACGTGTATGGAGGGATCTCCCTCTTATGAAGCTTGTCTTGTAAGCTTTACAAGACAAGAAGTGCCATATAGAGAGAGGCTTGGTCTCTTGGCTGAGAGGTTAGACACTTAGGATATTTTGAGAGCTTAGACAGCCATTGTTAGGGTTTGAGTTCTAGGGTTAGGGTTAGATATACATTCTATCTCTCTTTCCCTCTCTTTTGTGCTCTTGTGTGTGTTTTAGTCCATACTATTGCACACAAGCACCTAGTGTTTCACCTTCCTCTTGGAATTCCACCTTCCTCTTGGAACTGAGGTTCTAGGGGACTGATTTTGAGGTTTTGGTGTTGGATTCAAGCTAAGGAAGGCCATTGGAGCATCATTGTTGAAGAAGGCTTCAAGGGTAAGAATCTCACCCCTTTTTACCCCATTTTTGCATTGTATTTCTACTTATCTTAAATTCGTTTTTGAGCTTAGTGTATAATACAAAAAAGTTCTGTTTTCAGACCCTCTTGGTTGTTTGTTAAGAGTGTTTTGTGGTTTGGGTAAGTTTGAATATCCTTAGGCCTTGAAAGGCCTCATTTTGTGCCCTTTTGTGTGAACTCCGGGATTTTGGTGTTGGGGTCCCTTCATCACTGAAATCTTGAAGGATTTCAGTGGTGAAGGTGATGCCTTGAAGTCCCAAGAAGGAGAGGGCCACCCCCTCTCCTTGTTGTCCTTGAAAAGGGCATGTTTTGGCCTCTGGAGTATTTAGACATCCTGTAGTTTTTTGACGAAGAAGATCAAGGGGATGTGCAGATTGGCTGGTTTGATTTGGATGGATCAATCGACAACTCTGGGTGGCTAAGTGATGAGTCGAATAACGAGGAAGGAACTGAAATGAAATCGGAGGAAATAGAAGCAAGAATTGATGTATTGGCCAAAAGGGCTGATGAAAAAGGAAAACTACCGGAGAACACTGGCATGGAAAATTCAACTCAGGAACTAGGCGCTGTGAGCACTGTGGACATGGAACAAGAAACTGCACTGAAGCAGTTTGAACAAAAGAGGGTTGAAGACAACCAAAAAACTGTAATGGCCCAACACCCTGCGGGGGGTACTTGTGATGTGAAAGTGAGCCCAACGGAGCCGGACAACTATTTGTTGGCTGCTGAAGGTGCATGGTAGGATGATGCCGATTTGCATCTAGCTCACACTGACGAAGACTGGGGTAAGTGCCTTTCAAACAACATGTGGTACGTGGAAAAAATAAACCACATGACAAAAAATGGGCGGTATTTTTAGCCACCACACTTAGATTAGGCTGAGGCATCTAGGAAAGACAGAGAGGTTAAGAGACAGAAAGAGAAGCAGCTGGAAGAAGAGGCAGTGTTGAAGCAGCTTAAGAAAATCCAAGCAAACATTTCAATTTGGGGTCTTCTCATGGCCTCTCGAGTATATCGATAGGCAGTACTGTCAGCAATGGACAAAGCTAAATTGTCCATTGACACTACCCCCGAACAGCTTGTGGGATTGGTCTTCCGAAGTGGCGCCAGGCCAACCCTAACCTTTTCTGACAAAGAACTGCTGCTGGAAGGCTCAACTCACAACAAACCCTGGTACATATCTATTGAGTGCAAGGAAAAATGGGTACCGGTGGTGTTGATAGACACCGGTTAGGCCATCAATGTATGTCCTTCCTGCACAGCTTATTGTAGACACCCCTTTTTTGACCGTCCTCAAGACTTGGACGTCACCATTTGAACATTCGGTGATTATCCATGTTTGTGTTCGTTTGGAGTTCCCGGAGGCCTCGGCTCGCGTGCC